CACACGTGCCCAGTGTGTAGTTCAAGCTGCCAGGGCCAGGATTTCAACAGTGGTTGATCCCGTGGGACCTGGCTCCCTATAAACAGCACTTAACTGCTGCTCTATGGGGCCAGCCCTGCACACTGGGATTCTATACAGCCGGAGGAGGGAACATGTTACGGAACAGGCATGAGCGTAAGTGAACCTCAAGGGCACGCTGCTAAGTGCAAAAAGTAATCTCAGTCTCAAAGTCATCATGCTGAATGAAAAAAGGCAATCTCAAAAAGAATCTGTGTGATTCCACTTACATAACATTCTGTCAATGACAAAATGATAAACCCGGGGAACAGATTAGCGATTGCCAAGGGCTAGAGCTATTGGGAGAAGGGTGTTGGGGTTTGACTCCAAGAGCAGCACAGGAGAGCCCTCGTGGGACGGAATCCTTTCGTGGTGATTGGGGTGACGGTTGCACAAATTGATGCAAGTGAAAGTGGTGCAGAATGAAACGTGCCCGTGCCCGTGTCCTAGTTTTGATATTGTAGTGTAGTTATATAAGATATAATCATTGGAGAAAGCGAGGTCAAGGGTACACTGGACCTCTCAGTACTATTTTTTGCAACTTCCTGTGAGTCTATAATGATTTCAAAATGAAAAGTTAAGAAAGGAATACCCAGACTTTAGACCTATGCTACTAGCCACAGGTTGCTTTTAAAATAAAAGTGTAAATTGAAGGGAGCTAAAAGGCAGTAATTTTAGCTGCATTTGGTCACACATGTCCTGTTTTGGGGTGTTGATGTGGTCACCTTAACCATATAGCTCAGATGCAGCTTCTTTCCATTACCACAGAAGTTGGTCGGGCAGTCTGGTTTAGACAAACCCTTCCACCATGCCAGTTGCCACATGTCTTGATACTTACACGTTCTTCTTGAGAACAGTCTCAAATTTATAAATCAAAGGGTGATAGCCTGGGCTAGTAAAAGTAATTTTAGAAATGCATTTAACGTTTTCTGAAACCGCATCCCATATTTTAACAAGGAACAGAAATGAAACATTTGCTTTGTGTTTGGAAGAGGAATCAGGTTCTCCCCTTATCTGCCAAAGCACTTGCAGGTTTTCCCATAATCACAGCGTAGCATGTGTGGGAGACAGGCAGAAGAGGAGATGGACAGGTAGGGGAAAGATAAATCAGCCTGAAAAGTATTTTAAATATCCCATACTTTCTGTTCTTATCTTCTGTTCCTTAGTGACCGGCTTACCAATGGTCGCATATCATTGCACAGGAAATGTGGTTTAGCAACCAGACCATAAGCCAGAATTCTATTTCTGGTTCAAAATGACCTTGAGGAAGTAACAAATTTACTCTTCTTCTTTGTCACAGCTAACGAGCAAATTAAGATAAAAGCACCTATTGCCCTGGACTGTAAGGTGGCGAGATGCTTGTTCGACTGAGAGCCCACTGTTCTGGATTACATATAAAACAATTTGGTTATATGTATATTAGACATAGGGTTTTGAAGCATTTAGCTATTAAAAAGTCACTTGATGTAAAAGAGGAAGTTTACCAAGCATAGAAAGTTTTATGTTTTGAGTTTTTTTGAGGGGGAGGTGATGTGGAACACAAGAAAGCAAAAGACAGAGGATAAAAGCTTTTATTACGCCCCAGGTTTGTTTGTATTTATTTATTCATTTGCCAAGGACGTGTTTGCGTTCACAGAGAGAGCGAGAATGAGGACCTCCCCCTCCCCACTGGGGTGTGGTCATGCTGCAGTTCATTGTCTTCCATTTCTCCACCTTGTCAGGATTCTGAGTAGCGGGCACATGCACGCAGCTGTGTTTCAAGCTGCCGCGTGGATATTTGAACCGTGGCTGGCTGTGTGGGATCTGGCTCCCTATGCACAGCACTTAATTGTTGTATTCTTTTAAAAGGTTTATGTATTTCTTCCATGAGAGAGAGACAGACAGACAGAACCCGCAGTAGTGTCTCGACTTCACGATCCGCCCCCAGCCTTCAGCCAGCACCAAATCATGGGCAAGTGCATGCCCATTGTACTCATGGAGGCCCTCCAGGCTTGAGCAAGGCTTTCCTGTGTGTGAGCTTGTCTTGAGAAGCATCATGTTTTACTACCGTGTGGCCATCTGGCCTCTTTGATTCTGACAAAACTTGGGGATGAAAGGCAGACATTTTGCTCTTTAGAGTCCTGGGTTTATATTCCTGCTCTGCCGTTTGCTCTAGATGGTCTCAGTTTCACTATCCATAAAATGGAACCAATACCTCTTTATGTTTCTGTTGTGAGGAGGGCACTTAGCACATAAGTATACAACTTAATTACTGATACTAATTTTATCAAGGCATGGCATGTAGTGGTGGTAGTGTTAGGAACAGAGAAATACCTTTCCATTCTTCCTTATAGAGGTTTGCTTTTTATTCTTCCTTATAGAGGTTTGCTTTTAGCCACAGAATAATTAAATTTGGAGGGAGGGTAAGTAACCAATCTTAGCTTCATAACAAATTGGTTGAAATTGTTCTAAAGCCATCTGAAATTTAAACAAGTAGACGTGACTAAATTGATCGAAATTACTTGATTTAAAGCCAAGAGGGATAATTCTGTTTTTATACAATCTGGCAAGCCAAGATGTAAGCAGCACACTCAGGAAACTAACATTTATTAGGGAAATTTTATTGCAGTGCAATCCTTTGCAACATTTTTCTACAGCTGTACATGTCTGCGATTTGAATGAACAGTGAAAAAGTTTAGTCAGCTGTAAGGCTCATAAAATTTTACAGTGTACAGTGTCAAGTCATCAGGGAATATCCTATAGACATTTTTTCTTTGCCTCTCATACTGCGAAACATTGAAAAAGAGATCGAGAACAAGGGCAAACATCCTGTAGGGTCTTTCTGGCCCTGAGTATAGAGTAGCAAAGCAGGACAAGGGACAGTTTTAGCCCAGAGTTCACTGGCATGTGGTCAATTTGAAGTTTCCTGCCATACTTTTCTGAGCTAAAGAGAGGGAACCAAAAATGCTGACATCCTCATTCAACTTCGTCACTCACATCTGAGTATATACCAGCACTTCCTGGATAAAACCTACCCTGACTCTAGGGGGGATATCCCCCGCCCGCCCCTAATCCCTCACTTGACCTGGACGAGGGTGGAGGCTTGAACTGGTGACATTTTTGGAAAACTTTAGCCCAAGATTGGATACTAGCACACCATGTGAGCACGCCCTGTCTCATTACTTTTGACCATGTGGAGATCAGCTTTTAAAGCTTATGATAATAGCACTCATTGAGAGCAGATGATTGCTATAGGTGAGGTAGTCTCACAGTCACCACCTCATGAACATATTATACTGCATGATAACTGATTTAAGATAGAGCTCATTATTCAGATGTGTTAATATACATGTCTATACAATATGATATATATTGCCTGGGAAATGGTTTTTATTTATTTTTTTTTTGAGAGTGTTTTTTTTTTTTTTTTTTTTTTTTTTTTTTTTTTTTTTTTTTTTTTTGGTTTCTTGCGCCCCCCGACTGCGCTCGCCAGACAGACAGAAAGCGAGAAATCACCCCCATGGAGGATGGCTATGCCACAGTCCCTTCTCCTCCACTCTCCTCTTGGGATCTTGAGCATGCACGTACACGCCCCTGGCGTGAGTTTTAAGCCACTGGGTCCAGGACGCTAACCGTGGTCGACTACATGAGAGTCCAGTGACATAACCATTACGCTAACTGCTGGTCCCTGGGAAATGGTTTTGAAAAGATCTATCAGAAGGTCTGAAGTGTATATAGGTTGTCTTCCTAAAATCAGCATCACTATATCTAATCTGTCTTTTTTTTTTTTTTTTACAATTATTTTAACCTTATTTATTTATTTTTAATTTGACCAGAGAGGGACAGAGTGAGAGAGAGAGGATTTCTAAATGTACAAGACTGTGTGTGATTTTAGTTCGTATTTCTCCCAGTAGTTTCTGCTATGCTCTTACACTTGCGGTTTATAAGCTACATTAAATGCTTACGTTACTGTGCCCATCAAGGACTCTCAAAGCACTTTAAGGTAACAGGCATTTTTCAGTTTAGTATTCTTTCAGAAACACAGTAATTTGAAGAAGTGATATTAAAGAGTTGAACTGAGTCCAGGTATCATAGTTTGATTCTGACTACAACATCTAAATGTCACATGAAAGAGGAAATTAGAACTTGGATTATTGTGTAAATATTGAATCTAAGTGATGATCAGTCTTCAGGTATTTTGAGAATTTGGTGTTATGTGATATATTAACCAAAATATTCATTTAATTAGCAATTTTCTTTATATACACAATAAGCAGGATAAATTTCTTTACAATTACCATTCCTTCTTTAAAGTCCTGATGTGTTTTTATAAAGAAGTTACTTGGGGGACTAGCAGGTGGCATGGTGATTGAGGTGCTGGACTCCCACATGTCCCACCGTGGTTCATGTCCCAGATATGGCTGCCTGAAAATCACAACAAATAAATAGATAAATAAATAAATGTTAAAACAAACAAACAAAAAGTTACTTGGGATTGCTAGGTAACTTGCATACCTGTTCGCAGGAAGCCCTTTGGCTTTTGGGGATAAGAAAAGTTTATACAGTTTCACTCTACAACAATTTTTATAGTACTTCTCAGGGCATGAAAAAAATTCCAGGATCCTTTAAAACCTATTTTTAGGGCCAGCTAGGTGGCGAATGTGACTGTATCCCACAGGGCTGACTGTGTGGTTCGAGTCCTGGATTCAGTGGCTTGCTAAACGTGTGAGTGAGTGCAGAAAATCCTGAGAGAAGGGATTGTGGCATGGCCACTCTGCCTCTCTCCTGCAAGCCGACATACTCTGTAGCCAAAAAAAAAAAAAAAAAAAAGAAAAGAAAAGAAGTATTTTTAAGGAATAGTTTGTTACAAATGTAAAGGTCATAATTACAGGAAAATCTCAGATAGTTTGCCTCCTCTTTGCCATTCCGCCCTGTAGAGCTCTCTCACTACATTTTGAAATACCTCCATGAGATTTTGAAATGCATCATTTGCGTAGTTCTTGGAGACTGCATCACTGCTGAGCAGTTGCGCAACCACTCTGCACTTCCCATTTGTTCTTTACCATGCTGAGCACAAGATGCATGTGTGTCTGGTGTCCAAGTTCAGGATGCCTATAGATTTAACTGACACATCAGGGGTCCAAATTTTTCTTCCAGAAGCAGGAAACAAGTTAATCAGAAGAATAAAAGGCTCTGCTGGATGTTGCTTGGCAGGAATCTTTTATGGGGGGCTGTGAGTATTGTCGTTTTACAATGGTCATTTCTGAAATCGGTCAGGTTAAAACGTTTGGACTTGTTGAGGATACGAAGTGTGCAAGAGTTGATGTCATTTATATCTGCCTCTGTCTGCTCCTAAGCGGTAATAGATACCTTGCACCAGTATGGGAAGACGATGGTGGATCTTGTTCAGAACCGTTCAGTGCTGTGGTTTTAGTATAGTACATACTAAGTTGTGCTTTTCCGTTTGATTAAGGTCCAAGAGCAATTGCTCGAGGGAACGGCATTTCTCCTGGAGGGTTCCTACCATGGCAGTCTTTTCAAGAGTGATAGAAATAAGCTCTACTTAAAGTGCAGTCATGGTTGACCCTTCTCACCTATGTCATCTGTAGTCTAACCTCTGTCTCCTTCCTAATTTCCATTTATTGTACTCTTATGTCTTAATACGAAAGAGCTGGGCTCAGCCAGTTTCTTAGAATTTACTTATGCACTTAATAGTCTCTTTGTTACCAATTATTAGGGAATAGATCTACTCTACCTCTAAAATATCACCAAACTATATTGTTAATGCACAAGTCAAAGGATTTCTTATAATATGATTTATCAGGATCTGAAATTTAGGTATTTTGACCAGGATCTTCTATTATCGTGGCTTTGATTTTTTTTTTTTTTTGTAGTCTTTTATATTTAACAGAAAATCTATTTTAAGTGAATGTCTTTGTTTAGGAAAACATTTTTTTTTTTTAATTTTTATTTTTATTCAAGAACCAAATGATAGTGTGTTTTTTTTTTTTTTTTTGGAGAGATTTTCACTTTAGGGCGCGTGCGCTCGCCAGACAGACAGACAGAGACATAGAGACAGAAAGCGAGAAATCACCCCCCAGGGGGGATGGTCACGCCGCAATCCCTTCTCCTCCATTCTCCTCTCGGGATCTTGGGCACGCACGCACACGCGCCCTGCATGAGTTTTAAGCCACCGGGTCCGGGACGTGAACCGCGGTCGACTACGTGGGAGTCCAGCGACATAGCCATTACGCTAACTGCTGGTTCCCATAAGAAAACATTTTTAAACAGATATTTTTGTTGGGTATGAGAGAGAAAGACAATACACATCCAGGTATAACCTACTGATGACATTTTGAGGTGTCTTTTTCTCTTTGTATTTATTGTTTTGTAAAGCAGAGGCCATATCGTACACGGATTTTGTGTCAGGCATTCCCACCACTTCACATTAAATTATTTCAGGCTAGAGTATCTTAGGAAATACTCATTTCATTTGCTGTGTGGTTTTCTGTTCCAGGGCAGAACCTTAATTTAGTTAACACGTCCACTATTGTTAGACACTTAAAATTGTATTGATTTCGGTTTATAAATAACTGAGAAGAACATTGATTTTTAAGACTATCTTGCACGGTGCCTTGGGGGATAAATCCCATTTGTTCTTGAATTCTTGATTTTAAGATATCGTTAACAGCTTGGCCTTAGATGATGATTATTTTCTCACATTTTAGTGGCCACAGAGTATGTGTACCTGCCAGAGAGAAAGAGAGCAAGCAGTCATTTCCCAGTGAAGAATGGTTATATCCTGTCCTTTTTCCTCCGTTCTTCCTTCCCATTAGACGTGTACTTACATGTGCCCTGTACGGTTTTTAAGCTGTTGGAGCCAGGATGCAAACCATGATGAGACAAATGGGATCCAGCTCCTTAAGCCATGAAGATATGAGGACGGCCACCTGGCCTTTGATTTTTTTTTTTTTTTTAAGAGCAAACATTGAATTCAGATTTTGAATAAATGTATTGTGCACATATTTGCTTAAACTTAGGAAGCTTAATTTAAAAGCTTGTTTTGGGACCAGCAGGTAGTGTGGTGATTAAGGTGCTGGACACACCCAGATGGCTGACCACAGTTCGAGTCCCGGACCTGGCCGCTTGCTTTCTCACTTTCCCTCTTTCTCTCTCTGTGTCTCTCTCTGGTCAAACTAAAAATAAATGAATGAATAAATTAAATAATTTTTAAAAACTTTTTTACTTTTGTGTAACAGACAGCCTTTGTGCTAGTCACTTCTCAAAAGTAGATTCCATTGCTTTATTCATAGAGACAACAGGGAGTGTTATCTATAGAACTTTTGTAAGTAACTGGTTTATTGAGAGAAATTGAAAGAGGATGTCAACTAAGACCTTGGGTTTATGTGCCCTGAGGCTCATGTGAATGGAGAACTAGATCCATGCAGAGATCAGTCAAGCGTGGGTTGTGAAAATACTGGTGCCTGGAAAAACAGATTCATCAGGCATTGGCCAAAGTTTTTGTTTGTTTTACTGTGTGAAAAGTGGCCCTCGAGTCTCCCATTAATTCACCTACAGAAGAAAGAGATGGCTCTCCGTTCTCCATTCCCTCTGATAGATTTGTACTACGATGGGGTACTGACCTTTCTCGTGGAATGAGTGGAATGGATTTGAGAGAGTACTTTGAGTCATTAACAAATTATCATGTGCAAGTTCTATTTAAAACTTTAAGTCATAAATTTAGAATAGGAATAGCTAGGGCAGTATGATAACATAAGTTTTGAAGCTTTAATTTTGAAACAGAAAATTTAAAGAGTTTTTTTTTTACTTGAAGATCTCGTTGGTTTATTTTTCTTTGCTCTGCCTATGTCTTCCCCTTGCTAGTTTAGATGGTAATGTAGTCAGTAACCTGACTTCTGTACACAGTGGTTTCAATTTTATTCAGTATGTGCTATATTTAGAAAGTCTTTTATTTTTTCTTATTTTAAAATTTATGATGGATTGTTATTAACCCCAGATACATACACACATACACACATTGAAAAGAAGTCAACAGAGGATTTATCACAGTATCTATGCGTTTTATTCTGTCATGACAAATAATGAAAATAGTTGAACTTTGAGTGACACAGGTTTGAAGTGCCTGGGTCCACTTATATGCAGATATTTTTCCAATTGGTAAATACGGTGCTGTGAATATATTTTCTCTTCCTTATATGATTTGCTTAATGAGATTTATTTAGCATACTTTATTATAAGAATATAGTATATAATGCATACAACATACAACGCACACACATACGTGTGAGTATTTTAATTCTTGCCCTCAAAAATTACAAAGACTATACGTGATTTGGAGATGAGAATGTATCAAGCAATGGCTAAAGAAGAATCATCCATTCTACACCTTCTGTCTGGTCTGGTCACTCAGAAATACAGTGTTATCAGCTATGATTGCTGTTGCCTGTCGCCTCACATTATTTGTATCCGTGTATTCACCATAGTTTACTTTCCCTTCCACATAAATTCGAGACCCCCTTTTTTCATACTTACATGCCACGTCTCTGAGAATACTTATATCCTGTGCAATATTGTCTTTTGACTAACACCGCCCATTTGGTATACTTCATTGTCCCTGATATCCACATCTCATTGTGACTGGATTTTTTCCTTCCACCTGTTTCACGACCGAGTCCTGACCCACTTGCCCAAGTCACTGCACACGATCCAGAGATCTTTCGAGAATCAAAGTGCTCGCTCTTTCAGATTCGTGTCTTACAAACTGACGAAGTACCTGTAATGTAGGTCTTGGAAACATGGCTTCTGTTTTCTTTTCTTACAATCTAATCTTTAGGTCTTTCCTGACGCTCTAGCCCCGACCACAAAACACGTATGTCTTAGTTGACTCTGTTATCAGTAAGGCTTCCAGTAAGCAGTAGGCTCTTCATTTTGGGGGGAGCTAAAAGTTGCGTACAAGTTTTCAACTGTTGGGGTGGGGTTGGTCCCCCCAACCCCTCTGTTGTACAAGGGAGTCTTGTATATTTATAAAATTACTAAAAGTTACTTAGAATTAAGCTGAAAACTACAGTGGTACTTAGTATTTTTTCCTTTCGTCTCTCCACCGACTCTTTTTTTTTTTTTTTTTTTTTTTTGCATTTTATGCATCTCAGCCTGTCACATGCTTTTCTTTGGGCTGTGCATACGATGCCCGTGTGTGTTCTACGGATCAGCCTTGTAACCGGACCAATGGGACTTCTGTTTCTGTCCAGCACGTTACTCACTTCTTGGCATCCCTCCTGCCCATTTGCTTAATCTTTGCAACTCATTTGACCCTCTGGCATCAGAGCTGACAGCTGTGATTACATGTGGAGTCCACACTGTAGCTGCATAATAAGTGTCATAACCCGGGTCTTGTGTCGCGCCACTGATGGCTAAGCAGGCAGTTTCTTTACCTTGAAGTGGGGATGAGCAAGCTGCATCATTTCCTTTGGCAGTCCACCCTGTAGAATAAATGGGTCGCTTTACCTTCTGTGTCTTCCATAGCAAAAGTGTTGCAGATGTATTTGGCAGGTGAGGCAGAGTATTACTTTTATTTTACAGGAAGAGAGTTTATATATAAAAGGGCTTGGTAATTGATCCTGAAGGATATATATCCTAAACCCAAGTCTACTGTTGATGGAGTATCTGTTCCACACAGTGTTCTGAATTATATACACGTTACTTCTCATCCTCTGAATGATCTTCCCCTCTCCACCAGAGAGCATGTAGGAGCATATGGGGAGCGGGGGAGAGAGAGAGAGAGAAGGCGCTCCCTTCCCCAGTGGGTCTGGTCACACTACAATCTCCTTTTATTCCCGTCCTGTCAGGATCCTTAAAATGCATGTATGTGTCTGGCATGTTTTTCAAGCTGTCAGGGCCAGGATTTGAACTGTGGTTAGTAATATGTAATCTGGCTTCCTCTGCACAGTGCTTAACCCCTCTGCTGTAGGGCAACCCCCTCAGAATAATCTTGATAGATAGGTCATATGACCCTATTTTTTCATATGAAAAAAGCAGTCAGTGAGGTTATATACCCCTATTCACACAGTTAATATTAGTTGATAAGTAATGGAATTCAACTACAAGACCATTGACTTCCAAAGCTATGGCTCATCTATTGCACACTGTGGCAGTAATTTGTTCTTTATCATCGTGCATGGTATTTTTTGCCATATTGCTGTTGATGGACATTGG